TTTAGCAAAAGTCTTATGAGCTATCTCTTGCAGTTTCAGCATATCCAATCCATAATAGTGATTCTTAGTCCATGCCCTGTTTATGTTTATAGGGACTGCACAGCAGTGCTTAAAAATGAAATTTCCAACTTAAATATGAATTTTTATTACTTAGTAGTTGGGAGAAAGGCACTTTGTTTCTAATAACACTAGGAACTAACATAATCTTGATATTAAATAGTGAGAGTCAGCTTTTCTTTTACTAATGAACTTGTTCTGTAGCAGCTCAGTTTAATTTGTGCCCAATTGGTACAGCTTTCACAATGTGAAATAAAGAATATTTTCTTATTTTCTATGTTAAAGATAAGTACTGATTTTATGGAATTACTGCAGCAGGCAGCAAATGCTGTATGAGAAAAAAAAAATGCCCCAAGCAGAGAGAAACACTTAGTTCTGTGCAATTATATCTGTACTTCTTCAGGATGTTGGTTTTAGGTAAAATTAAGGAGAAGGAAGAGAAAACAAATAGAACATGCCGAGATTTTTAGGGAAAAGAACTACAGCATAGTTGATTTGTTGTTTTGTTTTGTTTTGTTTTGTCTTTTTTTAAAAAAGACCATCTAGAAATTCTAATGATTTACTACAAATATTTAACACTGGAGTTATCTGTAGTATTGACTCCTCATAGCTGTTTTCAGTCATCAGCCCTATATATTTACATTTTCTTGTTTTCCCTCACTTATGTCATCTATCATACATACTTAAATAAAACCCCTTTGAGTGTGTTTCATATGGAAGATATAAATGTTTTTTTATAAGCCCTTTAACACCATTATACAAGACTTCTAACCTTTTATCTGTAGTAAATTTAAATTAATTAGAATCCTGGAAACTGGAAAAAAAATTAAAGATGTTAGTTATTAATTTTAAAAAATGGAAGTAATACTTTTTGATGCCCTTTTTTTCAGATTCTGGCTCTAAGTTCTGTAATAAATCACAGTGACCACAATACATTTTTGCTAATTTTCTCTTGTATTTAGACTGAAAAATATGAACAACCTTTTAAAGAATGGTGTCAGACATAGGGAGAAACAGTAAAGAAATTACTTGAAAAATATCGAAAAATCTTAACCAAAGCCTCAGAATAAAACAGAACAAAACAAAACAAAACAAAGCCTGATGTAGTTATAGCATTCAGTGTAACAATGTTTAAAAAAATGCCTTTAAGCATGAAAAGAGATGTAAGGAAATCTCAAAAATTCAGCAGCAGATCACTGAGAATATAAAACAGATTTAAGTGGCAGCAGAAATACTAACAAGATACTCTAACTTTCTGGACATTTATAAGTCTAAGGAATGAAATGATAAATATTAGTCAAACAGACATTCTGAGGAAATTACAAATAAGAGAACAGGAAAAAAAAGAACCTGAAAAATGCATTTGCTGTGGATGTAACTGCAGCATTTGAAGCGCCTGGTGGTGGAGCACTGAGAATTAAATTGTACTCATAATCATTCTGTTTCACCCCACTGAATGGCAAGCTATTAAAAGTGCAAAGCAACAGAACTTTTGTCAGGATTTAGCATGGTATTAAATATCACTGAATCTGCTAAACTTTGTTGGTTTCTATGTTCTCCAAGAACCAATTCCTCACAGGAACTGTGAAAAGAAAACTAAGGGCCTGAGAGAGGGATTACAAATGTTCTTTCAAAGGACTATGACTAAAGTGAAGGAAAAAGTGAAAAAAAAGTTCACATCTCAGGTATTTTCTAAATAAGTAAAAGAGCCTAACTTACACATGAGGAAGGAAAAAAGTAAATTTGCTTAAGTCAGAATTAAACATATTAAGTGCTCAGAAGGGTTTATTAACACAAGTGATGTATTAAAAGTAATACATAGTATGATAGCTTCAAAAATTTGAGAGTTTTAGCTAAAAGCAGAAGGTATTAATACTGTGGGACTCGTAACCAGCACTACTACGTTTACTTTGCTCTTTGTAGCTTTATTAATAAGCCAAGTTTTATCATAATGCATCTTTTCTATCTTATTATATCTTATCTTGACACTCATTATTTCATAAAATTTTATTGATATTCTGTGGGAGATGGCAACGAAAATGCTTCTCTATTCAATACAAACTGTGACAAAAAGAAAGAAGCAATCTGCCTGGAAACATTGGAGGTGGACTTGACAGTTGTGTCCACTTGCACAGGTTGTGCACCATTAGCTAACCACGGGCCCATGAGTCCTCCCTTGGTACTTGTGTGCAGCGTAGCAACTTGAATACTGTCATTCTGTGACCCACTGCCAGCTCACAGACAGCTTGAAAACCACTCTTTCATGAAGTAAAGACTTTGTGTTTCTGTGGTCTTTCAGAAGATCCGGTGTTAATTTACATATATCCTGAATGTAGTATCACAATCTTTACCAACTTTCTCAAATACCAGTTTAATTTTCGTGGAAGTGTTTCTGTAAATTTTTGGTAAGGATGAAAAACACTTCCTCTAGATAACTAAAAGAAAAAGAAAACTGTCACATACAAAACAGACAAAAATTATGTGGAGTGCAATTTTTGTTTACAAGTATCATACTGTATACTATTTATGATATATTTTCCCTAATAACCAGGCTTATGTATGAGGAATAATCCTGAGACGGCTTGGTATATAGCTTTTTCTTTATCTGACTCAGAACTTGTTTAAATGCTAGGTCAGACTCAGGTTGGAAGAAGTCCATGATTGTAATTAACTCTAAATTTTCTTTAAGATATGACCTTATTATTTTTTTCCACTCCTTCGGTGCATCTGTCACAAAATCTAGACTATATTGAGTAAAACAATAAAAAAACTAATGACTAAAGTATGATTGGAAACTAAGCCATAAATTTGTGAAATTTCATGGTGATACTTTTTACAGACCTGAGTGTAAACAATAACAATGTGATTTTGTTTTGCAGCTCTCTTACTTTCACCAAAGAATACCACATGCTAACATGAAACTATGTAACATAGTGTGTATTGGGCTGTTTCATACATATGTGCATATTGTCAGCTGAAGACTGTGACTTCAGACTTGTTTTTAAGTGGTCTATTTTCTCTAACTGCAAGAATAACTACATTTATATCACTGTAGCATCAAGCTCAAGAGCCATAAATGTTGTTAGTGCAGACAAGCTGTGTAAGTCAAATATGTTAAAATTCTTAAATCAAGCTACTGTATTTATGCTCAAATACAGACTCTGTCTGCACATCAAATGATGTAGTCCAATATCAGTATGGGTCAGTTGATCAAAGTAGTTGTAGTTATGCAAGCTTTAACATCCATAAATACAACTTAAGACTTTTACTTTAGACTAAATGTAGTTCAGTCCTTTGTCATGAATGTCCCCACCATACATAGTGTTTGAAGCTGTTTGTCATTGATTCAGACCTTTCCTTCTGCATTAGCTGTAGAAACACATTTACTGCGCATCGTGGGCAGAGTTCTAGGTTAGTTTCTTCCAAGAATAATCTAGTTTGCATGCATCAAAATCATTCTTCAAAACCAGTGAATGTGCATTAAGTGCTCAGGGAATTCACTTCAAAACTATGCTACAGCTCCAATCTAAAACATCAAAACTTTTGTAGTTATGTTGGAATATTCACATAAGACAAGCCATTTGTGAGCATATTAGCTATTTAAGCAGAAAACAAACATGGTAAATTTAATTTAAAAATACTTTGCCTATGATATTCCTAATTTAATTCTGTTGTTTAACATTTCTCTCCCTTCAAAAATTTCCTGTATTTTATTACATCAAGATGGGAATAATAGATATTTTATTATGTAGCATTTTAATATATTGTGAAACAATGACATTTAATATATATAAAGTTAATGTATTATTAGCATGTATTATTAATTCAAATGTATGTTGTAGAGAAGCCACAGTGGATCTTTCATCAGGTACTGCTATCAGCTGTCTCCTAACTTAACATATTTCAGATAGAGGGATGGAAAGGAAGGCTGTTGTTCTTCTGAGCTTCTCATCCATCACTGAGCCAAAATTCCTTTTCCTGTAATACTGAGCAGCTTCGTATTTTTTAATGGATGCTCTAATGCTAAGATAAGATGGGCAGAGAGAATATGAAGCCAGTTATCTCGTTTCTCACTGTCTTTCATAATTGCGGGAACATGTTTCAGGGTGCTTCTTCAAATTCTGTCTCATTTTGCCTAAGATCTGATTTGTTAAACTCCAGGTTTATTTCAGTGACCTCAGAGGGCAGTAGTGGTGGGTTGACTTTGGCTGGCTGCCAGACACCCACTTAGCTGCTCTCTCACTCCCTGTTCCTCAACAGGACTGGGAAGAAAATAAGACAGAAAAACTTGTGGGTCAAGATCAGGTAGATTACTCACCGATTACTGTCACAGTAAAACAGACTCAACTTGGAGAACATTAATTTAATTTATTGCCAATTAAAATGGAATTGGATGGTGAGAAATAAAGACAAAAACTGAAATACCTTTCCCTGACCTCTCCCTTCTTCCAAGGCTCACCATCACTCCTTCATTCCTGACTCCTCCACTTCCTCCCCTCCAGGGGGTGCAGGGGGATGGGGAATTGGGGTTGCAGTCAGTCCATAACAGCTTCTCTCTGCTGCTCCTTCCTCCTCACACTGTCCTCTGCACCAGTGTGGGTCCTTCCCAGGGGATACAGTCTTTCATGAACTGCTCCAGCATGTGTCCTTCCAAGGGCTGCAGGGAAATCTGTGCTTCGGCACCTGGAGCAGCTCCAGCATCTCCAGCACCTCCTCTCCCCACTTCTTCACCAACCTTGGTGTTCACAGGATTATTTCTCAGGCTCTTTTTTTCCTCCCTCACAGCTGTTTTCCACAACTGCTATGCAACATTTTTTACACTTTCTTAAATAAGTTTTCTGAGAGGTGCCACCATCTTGGCTGAGGGGCTCAGCCGTTTTAAATGGCTTCAGGTACTTTCAAATGTGTAAATATATGGGGGTTTATTTCTTGTTCTAACTTAGAGACCTGGCTGCAAGGAACTGCTTGGTAGGTGAAAGCAACATTTTGAAAATAAGTGATTTTGGAATGTCCCGGCAAGAGGATGATGGCGTGTACTCATCGTCAGGCCTAAAGCAGATTCCTATCAAGTGGACTGCTCCAGAAGCTCTCAACTATGGTAAGGACATGCACATATCTTTTTGCAAAAAAAAAAAAAAAAATTAAAAAAAAATCTATATTAGCATAAGGAGAACCAGGACTACCCCATGGACAGTATTTGAGTATATATATATATATATATTCCCACTTCCCAGTTCAAATCCATAACATTTAAAAATCATGTTAATATTTCAGTCTTATTTAAGTTATGTATAAAATACTATTTTGCCTTCAAAAAGAATAAAGCAGCAACATCAAAATTGCTATAATGCAGCAATAAAATAATGCTTTGGTTATGTTGCTGGCTCATTCTGGTAACTACCCAGTCAGTCATCTAAATCATAATCATTAACAAAATGAAAAAGAAAAGTTCAGCATATTTATGGTAGTGATTGTTCTAGCACCTTGTTGAGAATGTTAGAAAGTGTTAACACAATAGAAAACTCTGTTTGATAAATCATTACATTGGAGAAAAGTACAGTCACTGATTTATATTTATTTTAACTGCAGCTTTTCTTTACCTGCACTTTTATATATTGCTAGGCTGTTATCTTGGGGAAAAAAATCCATTATTTTCGATTGAGAGAAGTGGTCCATAATATGTGGGTAATAGTTCCAGAACAGAAACAGAAGCTGTTTAGCTTTTTAGCTTATATGAAACTAGAAAAATAAGTTCTTCTAAGTAAAGTGGACTGTGAACAAGCAGTGTATTAAATGAATGATGCCATATAGTTGTCTCTACCAGTTCTTTGGTTGAGTACTTAGAAAAAAATTGTTTTGAATTCTTCATTTGAAGTATCTATCAATATTCCTGCTATCTCGTAAAGCTCTTTTTTTAAGTCATTCATTGAAAATCATAAGTTTGTGACTTACAATTGATAGCAAAATGCTTCTTCTCAGCACTTTTGCAGGAGTTGATGCCATAACACAGTAAAGCAGATCTTCCCTTTGGAGGGCTAATAATAGATTTAGTTACAGCAATTGATCCTGTATTATCAGTTATTCTAAGAGGTGTTAATGTTGCTAGCATTTGCTGGGGAACACACTTTTCTATATTGGGTGTTTGTTCCACTATAAAAGTTGTTCAGAATTTTCATTTTTGTTATTTCAGAAATGCATTACAGTTTGTTTGATATATAATGGAAACTTCATAGCTGTATACAGTCCAATGTACTATGCTAAGCAGAAACCAGCCTCTTGTGACAACACTTTTGCTTTGTACTTTTGAGTCTTTTTTTTCTGTTTAGGCCAGGGGAGGAGAGGATAATTGATTAACATCTATTATTTTGTGTTTCCTAAAATGCATACATACTCAAGCAGCTTTAAGTGATTTACCATAGTATTTGGAAAATAAGCTCATTCAAACATTTGTTAATGTATTCAGCAGTCTAATATTCAGCTTTCAAAATGTTGTAGAAGGTTTCTGTGTATTCCTGAAGGATCATTTTTTCCACTCCCTTGAAAGATGTGAGTAAAAATAATTGACTTGTGTTTTATCATGTACCGTCTTAATAATATGGTCATAAGTATTGCAATAATTTTTGTAGGTAAAGCTGAAGGTATTTAAGGCTATCAGAGTGAAATAGAACTAAATCTGCAATATTTCAGAACTAGTTGGTAACTGTTGTCCATGTCCATGGCAAGATTTAAAGGTTGGAAGAAAATGAGAGATAGTCCCATGTGGCCATTACATGAATGATACAGTGCTTAAGAAACTACATAAAAGGTCATTTTTGAGTCACTTCTAGATTCACTGTATATGACAAATTAATAGCAGTCATTAAAAGATTTTAAACAAAAACAACACAAGTTGTGAAGTATAGAAACCAGATTAGGGCAAATGAGGTGATTAGGGAGTTGTGTCTGAAGTCATAACTGAAGTCCTCATGCTACTGGAGCCTGTGGGAGATTGAACCTTTGGTTCAGGGGGTGCTGTTCAGTGCCATTCCATACCATTATTTTTTGCTTGGAGCTCCATGATTTCCATCACTTCCAGCAAGTGGAAAAAATATTTGAAAAGCTCCTAATACAATTACATATTTAGGCCAAGTGTAGGGTATTTTTGCTCCCTCTTCTCTCAAAATTAAAATACACATTTAATATATATGTGTTTTTACCATACAACATTTTCATTTGTTTGTCATGCTAATAAATTACTTTGTGGAGGGCTTTTTTTGTGAATGAACAGGCCTTTTTTCTTGCCAGATAATGTCATAGTGGAAAAGATTATTAACTGTGCAGAACTTGTATTTTCTTAAAAAAAAAAAAAACAAAACCGCAACTAATCACCTATCTTGTATCTACTGAAAGATTTCAATGAAAAGTGGTAAATTACTAGATGACAAACTCAGAAGAGAGTTGATACATAGACAAGAAAACTAATCTTACTACAAAGAGCATAGTGAATGCCCGTAATTGCCGTCGATGAGGCACACAAGCTAATGTAGCGCAGCTGGAAGTGATAGTTCAACAGTAAAATGAACTTTCTGACATCAGAACAGTTTTCCTATCACCGTCACTGTAATTTACATGTATTTTCTTTTTTTATAATCAGAAGTGACTTAGTTTGGTTTGTTTAATGATTAGAGATGAACAAACAATGCATTCACAGGCATGTGTATATCTTAAGGAATACAGAACCCTATATACAACGTGATAGTAGGGAACAAATTAAAACAGTCATGAACAATGTTGAAAGTGATGTTGAAAATGGATTTTTAAAGTAACATTTTCACAGATCTTGATGTAAAGGGCTACGAGTCTTAACTTTCTGATGTGAATCCATCATTCTTAATGTGACTCTATCAGGGACAATAGAAATATCTGCTCTGAGATCTCTCCTTCTCCCATAATATAAAGCTTTCATTACACAAAGAGGTTTGGAATTCAATTATCTATCAATTATCTATTTTGTTCTCTCAGAATCATAGTTGAAAATAATGTAACCAGCAGGCCAGATTTCTTTTCTTTAACTGATTGGGTGCATTAGTTCTTCAGGGTCTAAATTAAACAAGTTGAAGCGACTGTACTTTCATTTGCAGAGAACACTTTGTTGAAGCATGTAAACCAGGCCCTCTTTATAGTTACAAACTATGTTGATGGTAGTTCCTCTCAGAATATTCATTGACATGCTATATTAGGGAACTGGGAAAGGCAATTTTTTTAAAAGTATATTTTTAATTGATAGTGATTAAAAAAAAAGGGGGGGGGAACTGACATTTTTCTGTCCTTTTATATTAGGAGGAAAAAACCCATATTTTTGTATATTAAGTAGAAAAGAAATTCTTAACTTGCATGAAGAATAACTGACATGGTAAGGTCTGTCAAATTGTAGAACTTCAAGTTAGCTTATATTATTCCTAGGTATTGACCTTAAGATAACTTGTTTATCATTTGAAATACAGGAGACCACGATATCTGCAGAATGTATTATTAGTAGCAATGGCTTTGTTCTGCTTAAAGTTTGCCAGTGTAACACTTTACAGAAAATCTGGGGCCATAATTATCTGAAACATTATTTTTTTCTGTACATTAAACTGAGGGTTTTCTCTCCTTTCCTTAGGGAGATACACATCTGAGAGTGACGTATGGAGCTTTGGAATCCTTTTGTGGGAGACCTTCAGTTTAGGAGTATGTCCGTACCCTGGAATGACCAACCAACAAGCACGAGAACAAGTTGAGAAAGGTAGTCATTTGTAGGGAGTGAATGAAATGCTATATAGATCCATAAGTTATGTAGTACAGTGTAAAATAGCAAAGAAATAACATACGGGTTATCCACCAACTAAAGCAAAAATATGATGAGATTTTTTAATAGCTGAAGCTGGTTCTCTGGGAGTAGTGTGATATTCTTGAAAAAAGGAATACACTGACCAGTTACTTGAAGGACAGAAGACTTACAGCATAATGACTTTGATTGTTGCAGAACTAAAAGGTGAGATGGAGAGGGGGGATTTACTGCTGTGCAAAGCAGAGACTTGACCAGAATGAATTTTTTAAGATTATGCTAATGCAGGTATAAATATTCTAAACTGCCAGAGGAAAAAATCTGTATCATTTCATCTTCTCTATTAAAGCATTTCAGACAAAAATTTAGCAATTATGGAGGAGCATGGTAAGCCAGTTGAGCATTGAAAGCCACATTTCTCTTTTACAAAATAATCAAAAGGCTTTTATTTAAAGTAGCAAATAACTATGAGCAGGATTTCAGCACTTTTGTTTACTTTCATCATCTTTAGTGGTGTTTCAGAAGTGTTCCTCCTCTACATAGTACTACTATGTAAGTCATAAACTGTTCCAAGCTCGTAAAAATGCTAAATTATTTTAAAAAAACTCACTAATTTGATGATTTATACAGATTGCTAATGTTTGTTATAAGCACTGCAGATGACTATCAAAGTTTCTTCTTAAAAGGCCAAATCAAAAAATCCAATGTTTTCCGGCGCAGAGGAGTGTTTGTAAAAACAAGTCTTACTACCTAAGTACTGAGATTCTGTTTTAATCCACTGAGAGTAATAATCTCTTGAAATGTATAAAATGCAAGGATTTAGAAGTATGTTTATGCTTTTTCAGTTACTTATACCATGGGGAAAATAGTCCTTTTGGCCCATCAGCAGTTCTTGTTCATTTGTTTTTAATGGAATTTTCATGTCTTTTATCAGTTTGTTTTCTTGGTTTTCAGTATATAACAGCTCTTCCATTAGGATAGTCAGCTAAGACACTCAGATTCTCTTCCTGATCATATCTATCTCAATTACTCAGTCAGTAAGAGCCTTCAGTGAATTTAGTTACTTGAATGCTTGCTTGAAACCAGGATAATTTCAGTTCTGAATACCTTTATAGAATCATTTAAGGATAAAAAGTAGTTGCTGCTGTCACTGTTTTGAAGAACCTAGTTTCTGGGGAATCTGTAAGGAACAGATTTTTAGAGTTTCATAATACCTTGTCTTTAAGTGTCCTAGAGCCCTGATTTTCTTCTTTGAAGTTACATGCATTAATCCAGCACCTACAGCTGCATTTAGCTGTAAAGTCCTATTTGCCAACTCACTTTACTGTCCACTGCCTATCATTAGCTCCAAGAGCTACATCTGGTAAACAGTTCAGAGAATCACAGTCACAGGATCACTGAGTTCTGTGGGAACCTCTGGACATCATCTGGTCCAACTCCCCTGCTCAAGCAGGGCCCTAAGATCCAGGTGCCCAGGACCATGTTCTGATGGCTTTTGCATTTCTCCAAGGATGGAGACTCCACCGCCTCTCTGGGTGACCTTTGCCAGTGCTCAGTCACCCTCATAGTGAAAAAGTGTTCCTGATGTTCAGAGGCAACCTTCTGTGTTTCAGTGTGTGCCCATTGCCTCTGGTCTTGTCATTGGGTGACACTGAAATGTGCCTGGCTCTCTCCTCTTTGCACCCTCCCTTCAGGTATTTATATATGTTGATGAAATTCCCTGAGCCTTCTCTTCTCCAGGTTGACCATTCACAGGTGTCTCAGCCTTTCCTTGTCTGAGAGATGTTCCAGTCCCTTCTTCATCTTGGTGGCCCTTGGTGGATTCTCTCCAGTGTCTCCAAGTCTCTCTTATACTGGGGAGCCCAGCACTGGACACAGTACTCCAGGTGTGGCCTCACCAGTGCTGAACAAAGGAGACAGATCATCTCCCTTGACCCTCTGGTAACAATTCTTTTAATGTAGCCCAAGATGCAATTAGCCTTCTTTGCTGCAAGGACGCATTGCTGGTGCATGTTCAACACTTGGCATCCACTGGGATCCCCAGGTCCCTGACTGCCAAGCAGCTTTCCAGCTGGGCAGTCCCCAGCATGTACTGGTACCTGAGGTTGTTCCTCCCAGGCGCAGAACTTTGCACTTCTTGTTGAGCTGCATGAGGTTCCTGTCAGCCCATTTCTTCAACCTGTCCAGGTCTCTCTGGATGTCAACATGACCCTCTGGTGTATAGGCCCCTCATTCCATTTTGATGTCATCAGCAAACTTGCTTTGGGGGCACTCTGCCCCATCATCCAGATCACTAATGAAGATGTTAAACAGGATCAGACCCAGTATTGACCCTTGGGGTACACTGCTAGTTGCTGGCCTCCAACTAGACTTTGTGCCACTGATCACCTCCCTCTGGAACTTGCCTTTCAAGCAGTTTTCAACACGCCTCACTGTCTGCTCATCCAGTCCATAATTCAACAGTGTCTTCATAAGGATTTTATGGGAGACAGTGTTGAAAGACTTACTGAAGTCCCCTGATCTGTCAGGCCAGTCTCTTCATCAGAGCAGGTGATGAGGTTGGCCAAGCATGACTTGCCCTTAGTGAATTCATGCTGACTACTCCTGATGACTTTCTTGTCCTTCATGTGACCAGAAATCATTTCCAGATTTAGCTGCTCCACAACCTCCCTCTGGGATCAAAGTGAGGCTGACCAGCCTGCAGTTCCCCGGGCCCTCCTTCAAGAGAGGTGTGGCAGTTGCTTTATTCCAGTCTTCACATACTTCTCCCACTCACCATGATGGATGAAAGACTATTGAGAGTGGCCTTGCAGTGACATCAGCCAACTCCCTCAGCACTCATGGGTGCATCCCACCAGGGTCCATGGACTTACCTAAGTCCAGTTTGCTTAAGCATTCCCTGAGCAGATCCTCTTCCACCAAGCGTGAGTCTTTGTTGCTCCAGACTTTCTCCCTGGTCTCTGGGGTCTGGGATTCACGAAAGCTGGTCTTGCTAGGAAACACTGAGCTGAAGAAGTCATTCTGTACCTCAGCCATTTCCATTTCCCATGTTACTAAGTTTCCTACCTCATTCAGTAGTGGGCCCACATTTTCCCTAGCCTTCCTTTTGTTACCTATGTACTTACAGATATCCCTGGCCAGATTTAATTCCATCTGGGCTTTAGCTTTCCTAACTTCATCCCTGGATACTCAGACAATGCTTATGTATTCCTCCCACATTACCTGTTCTTGTGTTTTAATGTGTCCAGGACCTCCTTATTCATCCATGCAGTCCTCCTGGAATTTTTGCTTAACTTCCTACTCATCTGGAGGTTGCCTTCATAGCTGTGAGTACATCCCTTTGGTCCAGGCCATGGATGATATGCTGGAATGGCCACTTATCTGTGACTTCTGAATGATTAGCTGCTAATTTATTTACCTGTTCACTCTCCTACTCATCACCAAGTCAGAGACCTCCTTCAGTTGATGGCAGCAGAGAGATTTGAAAGGCCACTGCCTATCTAAACAAACACAAAGAGAAAGAGTTAAGATGATGGGAAAATATAAAAGTTAAGAAAACAGGAGGGATAAATGGATAAAGTGCAGGTGGGAAGGAAACTTCTTAAGGAGACAAAAAAGGGAAGAGTCATGAGAATAAAAGTTGATCCATTTTGAAAAAGAACAAAGAAGTTTACTCCCATCTTAATGTTTATTATTTATTTCCTCAGTGGGGGGGAAAAAGGGGACACAATTAAAATCTGGAGGGTAGCTACTTCCTAAGATATAGGAAACAAATGTATGCATGTTGCTGCCCTCTGTGGTGAGAAGCATACTAGCATTTTACCATGCCCAATTTAAATATCATTGGTATCTGAGTTTTGATTACTGTAATAATTATCTATCTTGCTTAGGTTGTATATTGAAGACATCCCTCATATTAGCTTGGAGATATGTTTTAATGCAATGATATTGAACTTCACACATTTATTTTTAGATTTGTCAGTATACATCAGTTTTCAATGCTAAACATTTTCCCCTTTTTTTCTTGTGTACCAGGCTACCGAATGTCAGCACCACAAAAATGTCCAGAAGAAATATATAAAATAATGCAGAGGTGCTGGGACTACAAACCAGAAAACCGGCCAAAATTCAGTGAGATTCAGAAAGAGCTGTCTTCAGTCAAAAAGAAAGTGACATAGTGATAAACAAGTGCCAAACTCAATGTGTGGGACTTTATTTTCCAGTGAAGTAATTTTTTCCCCTCAAACACTATGCGTTTATACAACATTATCTGCAATATTCTTCTAGGATTACTTTGAAATTATTTTTTTTTATATATACATGTGTACCGTCTTGAATGATGTCTACACCTGCATTAAAGACATATACTGCAAAATGCTATATATCCAGTCACAGTAATATTGTCATTTAGGTTACATGTAAACAGAAAAGCACATACTATAGATTTAAGGGACTGTGGCTTCTATCTGTTTTACAGCAAGTAACTGCTAGTGGCATTTTTCAGAGGTTTTCTACTTTAAGCTGTGTTCTCACTCTGCTATCCCTGTCCCATACGTCAACACTAGTATCACTCTAATGTGGTGACTGTCATACATATTGGCCTTAAAATTTAAGATAGTTTTGACAAGTATTTCAGCTAGAAACTTTTCTATTTTTTAAATTCTTTCTGCAACTGATATTTTAAAGTGATACTTTAAGGATGAAGGTCAGTTAGATTCTGGATGCAAATGTGCTTACTGAACAGTGAAATCCAGAATTTTCTTTTGTAGAAAATTGAGTTACTTGTGCATTTCTTACCATACTGTAGTAAATACTTCTGACTTTTGGTGTGATTTACTTAGGCCATGCCTTTTCTTCCTACAAAGCCATCAGAATTCAGTAATATGTCTCCTTTACAATGACCTATGTTTATTTAAGAAGCAAAAAATCCAATATCAAGTCTTGACTACACATGTTAAGAAATACTGCAAATCATTTGCCTTCCAAGTAATATGTAAAAGCAGTAGGCCAACAGAAAGAGGTTTACTAATGATAGGAGTAGATAACAAATATTGATCTTAGGGGAGTCAAAGAGTGTGAATTGCTAGATTTGCTTTTGATTCTGATTATTCCAAGAAACCAAAACAAAGAAGTGTGCTTAAAGCCTCTGACAGGCTGAGCAAGGCAGAGTAGAAATACTAACTTTATAACTTTTTTAAATCATTGCAATCAGATTTTAAAAGAATGGGGACAGGCAAGTTTTAAATGCCACCAGTAATAAAAACCTTGTCTATATAAGAAAAAAAGTCTGCCAAAAAGAATAAAAACTTATTAGATAGGGGAGGGAGGAAAGGCACAGTTTGTTACTCTGGCTCTGGGTCCTCTTTGCAGCTGTAACTATTTACTAGGGCCCTACAGAGAAATAGGAACATGTTACAGTATCCTGGTCTGAATTCCAGAGTTAAAGGTGCTTAAAATTTTTCCAAGAATTAACTTACATTTCTCAGATCAGGGGATGACAGTTGCTGCTAATGCAAATAAGAAGTAGGGACTGGAAGCAACATAGCATCTGCAATGTTATTTAGCCCTATACTTTATTGTTACAGTGGGATTGAGATGTAGTGAAGTCAGTGGCTACATTACATTTTCATTTCTATTAAGGTGATTTTCTATTGTCCACAACATTTTTGCTCTCTGAAGTGTATTTATAGTAGTACTGAGTGGTAATGTTTAAGGGCTATGTGTGACCAAAATGTGTAGTCTAGATGAGTTTGTCTCTTATATTGGAGTTAGTGCCGAAATAAAACAATGAATGATCATGCTGGAGCACATCACCTGTATTTGAAGTGGAACTGTCAGTATCCAAATGTAAGGCATGGTGACTGCTTCTTGGATTTAAGTGATTTTTTTCTTGGAATTAAGGAAGCATATATATACTCATGAAGGCAAGTGTTTGGAAAATTTGGTGGTATGAATTTAAATGTCCTTATAAGCATAGTGAATATATTTACTTAGTTCTATACTTCCAAGTAGCCCAAAGATATTTTTGAAGACCAATGGGAAACATTCTTATTAGTTTGTATGCTTTCAAGCAGTACATAAAGTTTGTGCCTTAATTTGCTAGTATGCTAATGCAAGTATACTAATATTTAAGGAATGTTCCACAATCATTTGGAAAAATCCAAGATTTATCCAACTGCAGGTCCTTATGTATGCATCACTAAAGTCTGCAGGTAATGATAACAGTGTCTCCTCTGTCAGCATTCATAGCTTCTCTGGAGAGTTAATATTCTTGTTCTGTGAAAGAGATGAACTTTGCTATATGCTCTCTTGACAGCAAAGAAATACTGTTTTATTTCTATAAGATAAAATACTGTTTTATTTGTCTTAAATTAACCAGTCACCATCCTGACTCTCAGGAAAAGATAAAAATTGTACTCATATTTTACTCTGAAATAGTTAACATTTGTAATTCATATCACACTTCTGTTTAAATTTAAAGACTTTTTAAAACATGAGATTTCTACAGCAGCAAAAAAATTTATTCTTATTCCTGAAGTAGACATCAATTCAGTTCAAAAATAATAACTCTTTGGGAGAATACCAGAATGAGTTTATACATATAGAATAAATTTAAACACAGGTACGTCTCTTCAATTATTTACACTGTTTTCTTATCATTAATTTGACAGTTTGTGGCAGAATATGTTCATCATGTTTCACCTGTAATTATTGCAGTTATACCATTTAGGAAGTGGAACCTTTACCTATAGATACTGGTTTTAAATTTTTGTAAAATTCTCACAGGGAAGCTGAAAAACAAACCTGCCATAAAATGAAATTTAAAAGAAAGATGTGGTATTCAAGAACCAAAGCCTCCGTATCTGCTTTCTATGGACTTTTGATGACTTAGTGTTGTATAGTTTAGCCAGATACTGGTCATTTAGCTCACATAATGTGTTTATGCTAGAGAATATAGAAAAAAGTTAAGACGCAGTCTCTTTTACAAGTACAGTGTTTCAGGTAGGTTCTTACACCAGCACTGTCCCAACCAGGGAGACCCTGAGGGAATCCTGAATTTTTTACACTGTTAAGTGGGAGAAACTCTGAATACTGTTAAGGGTCAGATAGAAATACCTCAGCCTGTTACGTGACATGGAATTCAACAGATTAACTGTTATTTTCATCTTTTTCCAAGGAATTGCATTCATAATTCTAAGAAATACTGTTTTGAGGGCAAAAAAATGCATCATTAGTTAGTTTTCAATAGAAATTAAGCACATATGCTAGCTTCAAATTTCAGTCATCAGTGAAATCATGAGGATTCTTAAGCATTTCAATTTTATGGAAGGTAAAATAGTGAAAAGTGTCTTGTCTGAAAACAAACCTTACTTCAGCAAAGTGCGATTTTGGGGAGTCAACATCCCACCAAGACGTTCTCTTTGAAATGTACATTTTCATTAGTTTCTATTGAAACCAATGAACTAATTTTTCATTTAGCAACTGCAGTTGTATTGCACTTCTTCGTAACAAAAATCTGCCATTTGAAGAGTTCCCTAATATTTTTACTGAAAGTTTTTATTGGAACATGTATCCCCAGAAGGCTATTCAGTAAGAACTGCAGTTTGTAAAGTAAGCCTGATCTTATTGATGAGAATCAGAAAACTTGTTAAGGAAATAAATAGTAGGTTATTCATACTTAAGTATTATTTCATCCATGTCTTTGACCACCTGTTATGCTTACTTAAATCCTACAAGCACATCACTAAAACTGACTATGAAGTTGCCCATTTGTTATCTCTTATAACTATTTTGTTTTCCCTTTTGCACCCATTGTAAAGATGCTAAAGAAAAAACACTTTCCTGAGGTTACAGAGTAACCAACTGTCAGAAGCATTTAAAAATCTCTTACCCCTACTCAGATTTTCCCAGATATGCTGCTGCATGGATATTAACAGTAGTGATTAAGTACTGGCCCTGTTTCCATTATTCTTACTGTCGTGTTCTCTAAATGGCAGTGCCACAGGCATGCTCAATACAGTGCAATATTTGAAGAGCTGAGTTAGTGTGTAAAAAGTGTCATCAAACATGATACTCAGGAGCAGTAGTTCTGAAAACGGTTGGTTGTCATAATTAATAACAACTCAATGTAAAGATAGAATAAAAAGAAAGAGGCTAATTGAGAGAATCCACCTTCTGTAACATCTGTCCTGTTTATCAGCAATAGAAATATTTGTTATGCCAGTGCACTTGGATTTGTAACACTTTTACGACTGAGCATAAAATAGTTTGCTATTAAAAGAAGAGTTCACCAATTATTTTTTTTTCCTAAAGATTGGAAGGACATGTGATATTGTTGGAAGCATTCTTGCTAGTCAAGTCAGGATATGTGGAGGGAAGGATACCCCTACTACCAACCAAGGTACATTTTTTTTTTTCTTCTTAGAATCGTATTCATGCAGTCCTTCACTTTCAGGGATACAGGACTTTAATTAGTAATTAGAAAGTATAGGGCAAGTCTAATATTCCTGAAGTTCCAAAAAAACATGAGTTTTTAAGAGTGATGTGGTAAATTTGAGACATCAGCTCAATTAAAAATGTTTTCTTCTAGTTTCCTTATGCACATTTAGTGTAAAACAAAGCAGTCCTTAAACAATCATCAGTAACAACTTACAGGAAAAATGCATCAACCTCAGAAACCTATCAAGCTTCTTTAAGAGTAACCTAAGTAAGGAATGTTTTTTATAGTCTTGTACTATAATTCCCCTAGGATAGGTTTCCTTTCTAAAAAACTAAAAAATTAAAAAAAAAAAATAAAAAAAAATACACAAAACTAAAAAAAAAAGCTTAAGAAGTTGAAAGCTCCAAGTTGAAACAGAAGAATCCTTTCACTTGCCACATTCTGAACAGTCTTTCAAGTATTACCACAATTCCTTTCCCAAAACTGATAATGTATCTGTGATTTCCAGCTCTTACATACCCTACAGCATTGCATATTAGTGCATTATTAACACCCAACCTTACTTTCAGACAAAGGAATGGAAGATTCTGTCATTAAAAAGTACAGCAAGTTCTGCCTGTTAGCTCCCACATTTTCCTTAACTTCCACATTCAGTTATTAGTCATTGTCTTCACTATGATGAGCACCATTGTTTTAAAATCAGCAGCTTATCCCCTAAATTTCACAGATTTGACTCTAGAAGCCAACTTGATTTTGGTTCCACATCAAATAAGCAAAAGCTGTTTCTGTATTTCAGCCTTACTACTAATCTACAAAATAGGAGGGTTCAGATATACATTTATTGTTCTCTCCAAGGGGATGCTACCTCCACCAATAACTCTAAGTTTCCCTTATGTCCCTGTTATGTCCTTCTGTCTCTTTGACATAAAATTTTAACTGGAATGTATGTCCAAGTATAGAACTTGGGTGTTAACTCTGAGTTGTTTCATTTTCAGGAAGTTGTATATTATTAGTTGTTTTAGAACACCCATTTTCTCAGACATCATCTAGATAGGACTTAAATTAGAATTTTCAGATGGTTTGGTTTTTTTTTTTTTGTGAGCTAAAGGACTAATTAGATTGCTAGCTACGTGTATTGTCATTTTGCAGCTGTTTCAGATTATAGCTATGAGAGAGTAGTTCATTTATAGATCTCAGATTATGTATGCCTTCTCTAAATCAAAAACTGTTAGCCATACTTACAAAAAATGGATAAATAAAGCCCTCAAATATAATTGACTGAGGTCATAAAGTGAAAACATAAAAGAGTCATGAAGTACATTCTTTCTTCCTCTATCCTCCCAGAATTGAATGCTTTGTAAATAAAACTTGCAATAACTGTTTTTGTGTTTATAGATAAATATGACCTGTGAACCTCTATGATAACCTAGGACTCACATTGCTACTAGCAAAGAAGGCTTGGAAAAAAGTGCTACTATTTGGAACTGTCATTTAGTTTTAGAACTACAAGTTTTTATAGATAAATACATAACTTAAGTTTTGTGAGTACAGTAAGAGAGACAGCACATACTTCTCCATGGAAACCCTTCATCAATTTAAGGCAATTATGCTTTTTAAATGGAAAATCAGATTGATCAGCAGTTCCTTCTAGATTACACATCTTGAAAGCATGAGCCAGAAGTTTTCACCACTAAAAAAAGATCCACGTTACTGTCTTTATATACACCCAGCTCAGTCTTTCTCAACACATAAAGAATTCCATAATTGTTAAATGCAGTAGTAATACAAAATCCTTGGTTAACTGATACGTAAACTACTTCACTCTGACCTTTTGCTTCAATTCTTAATCTTTCTGCTCTTTAAAAAGGGCTGCAATAAGTTTATAGTTCTAGCTGAGCCCTGCTGTAATAATCTGGGCTGTTGCAACTCCCACACATTTCCTAATTCTGATGGCTCCAGGTACCACAAATGGTGTCCTTTCATTTACCTCAAAGGAGTTACTATTGTGACAGAAAAGTTCAAGTATATCCCTGCTTTTGTTTGACTCAAAAATATTATAGTCATTATACCTTCATACCTGTGGCAATGTGTTTGTATGAAAATGGAAGTAACTGTGAATCAAGGTGAAGCACATTGTTCCAAACACATTTTTTGATCAAGTTACAAACTCTAAATATATCGTGAAATGTCCACATCATAAAGGACATCAGAAAAACAACATTCCTGACTGCCTAGTTTACAATACAGAGTATCCTGCCCCTACTAGGGAACAATATAAAACTATATATGCTCCTTGAAAAAGCAGTGATTTTGCTTTCAGACCAGAACTAAACAATACCTTTAAAATTAACAGCAGTAACTTAATTCCAACTAAGCCTTTTTGTAAACTTCCTTCTTCTTAACAGACCTTTCCAAATAGTGTTAATTTTTATTATTGTCATCCATTTTGCTGTTAGAAATTTGACTTCTGTATATCATATAACATTTACTTATACTGGTAATTATATCCACGACTGCCACCATGAAGTGCTGAGACTTGCAACTTCAGAAGATAAGCATTGCAAAGTCAGTAGACGTCTACAGGGAACTGATCTTTCACCAGGTGTCTGAGGTGATACGGCTTAATGCATTTTAAATATCACTAAAGTAATTGTTTCAATTAAAAACCTGTTACACAGTTAGAACGGTAGTATTCCTTGCTAAAGATACCTCTGCAATACTAATAATTGTATCTGACTTCAATTCAACAGTAAGGTAGAACTGTACCTTCTTTCCTCTCTAGTTTATTAGGGAAGGGAAATGTGGAGTTCAGGTAGCCAATTCAGATGCTGTCAGTGATTCTGATATGTAGTGTGGATGCAGCCAGGATGCCAGAGAGAAGGTCTTGCAGTCTGCATGCCCCTTTTTATAATACACCTATGTTCAGTAAAAGTCACTAATAAATCCATTGGAGACTAGAAGTCTGCTCTGTCTTAGAGTGTGGCTAATTCTGTAAAACACCTGAAGTTGTGATGGTGAAAGGAGAAATAGTGATCTTTTTTTCTTTGTCATGAAATGCAGAAATGCAATATTCAGTCTCTGCACTCTTTTCCTTCCTTCCACCTCTTGCTTAGTCATGTCACAGATTCAAAGTCTTCAATAGGCAGAACAACTAGAAAAACATACCTGTTTCTGCTGTTAATTGTATCATTACCTGTAACTGACAATTTAGCCTGTTTTTTTCCATCAAGCTTCCCACCTAATTTTCACTGAAATGCTAAAAACATGCAATAGGAAAGAACTCATGAGATAGGCTCATCACACAGGACACAAAAGATAAGCAGACTGAAAAGAAATTTTGAGGACTGAAAGCCAACAATGGACACCTATCTTGTCCCTTCAGTTAAAGGCGTGTGTGGTTATATGAATGTTCAAATGACTTCCAGAGATGAAACTCAGACTAAGATTGGTGTGACTACTATTTTTTCAGTCCATGTATAACTTATCCTACGTATAATTGTAGGCAGCTGGAGATAGAGGAGGGATGTTGGGGGAGGAGGGAAGGTTGTTTCAGTGACCTGTTAGCATGTGCAAGACTTTTGACACCAGTAACCTTGAACGGGGCACAGATACTGTTTGCAAAATTGTTTAGATATCTACTTATTTTTGTGCCAAAATATGCACCAGCAAGCAAGCTTAATATCAGGTAAAGCACCTTTTATACTCTTTATTGTTTAAACGAATATATTTGTGAAACAGATCGATAATACATAACACTGGAAGTGGGTGCTTCTTTCCAAAAGTACACATGTAAAAAAAAAAAAAAAAAAAAAACAACATTTGTGAGTTTATCTGGCTTTTAAGCAAGTCTGAAAATTATAATTATGTAATACAGTTGCCAGTGGTCTGTCCTTTATCATTTTAAATAGATCTGCATTTTAATGTTATTTATTTGCCAATTTTTTGTATACTTTAGGGTTACACTTTTGAACTCAAGCTAACTTTTTATTTTCCTAGGCGGTTACAAAACAGAATTTCAGAATTCTTGTAAACTGCAGACCTTTTCTGAATAGTCCTTTGTCTTTTCCTATGGACCAGTTACCACTAATGAGTCTGCAGTCCCCTTTTTACTGTACTCTTCCAATAAATGTAAAATATTTGTATTGAGCTGTCTCATTTTATGAAGTGTTTACAGGTTGTATTTATTCACTCATCTCAGGGCTAATGTGAAGTGTGAATATCCCACTGAAAGAACTTCTTCCACTGCCTTGTGCTCCCTGCAGGTACCCTTTATTTAAACACACAACAGTGGGTAGAAAGGCAGGTTTTTGTGTATCTGCACCCTTACACAGGGTTATTAAGCACACTGTGTGCTGGCAGAGCACTGCAATTTGCAAATCTTGGTGCCTGACTGAAGGAGTTAGCAAAGAAGCAAATTGATAGCACTGGTTCATAAGTGGGACTGAGGTACCTCGGTTTTGGGTCATAGGTTTTTTTTAATATAATACTATTGTTCCCTCTTATAAACTCTTAGAGGTATTTTTCCCCACCATCTCCCAATAATCATGAATGGGAGAGATGTAAGTCCAAAGTTCATCCCCTAAATTTACCATTGTGTGTTGAAACAAAAGACAACACGGCGTGTGATTGCACATAGCTCTGGTACAATTCTGCTGAGAGACTAATTCATTAGCAGGATAATTTTAGAGAAGGTTACTGCAACTAAATCTGTTCTGCTCAGTGATGCCTGGCCTCCAAATAATAAAAACATGTTGTTTGAAAACCTGCTACTGCCAAACATTAAGCAGCACAGGGTCATCAAATTTCCTCCTCTGAAGTGTCACAGCAGTTAATTAGGAATGGGGCTAAAGAAAGGAGTCTTCAAGGTGATCACAACCTTTGTACAGTCCTACACTTTTTCCAGTTTAGAAGTAGATTTAAAGGACATGGAGTTTAAAAAATTAAGTTGATAAGACCTCTTAGAAGATCCCAAAGGACATTAAGCACCTAAGGACCACTTTAAATGACAGATCACAGCATTTCCATGTTCTTGAGATGACCGATTTAGCTATGCAGACACATCTTCCCCTAACAAACTGAACAGTCTGCAGCAGCAAAATGTGTAGGAGAACACATGCCCCAATTCCAGCATGACCATAACACCTTACTTCCTATTTCAGTTCAAGTTTTCCACTTGGGACTTCTACTGACTTGTGAACCCTAACCTTGAAGGTACTGTACAACTGGCAAAACTCCACACAGAAGACATCTGGTCATGGAAGTGTTGATACTGGATAGCACTACTTGCATCCATCCAATGTTTTCTGATCATCCACCGTTTGTATGTCAAAGCTAGATTTGTTCTTTTTCTTTGCAAGTCACAGACATGCCCCCCTCCCTTTTAGGTCCAAATACTGTGTATGCAAAGATGTTTTGATACTCGGATACAAAACCTCCCTTGAAGTCTGGCAGAAATGTTTTTGTTAAATGAGGGAGAGACACTCAGAGGTACAGAAGAAGCTGGCATCTGAGGACTCCAAGCAGAATTATGTGCCTGCCTTCAGCCTGATGTAAGGGATTTGGGGAGTCAGTGGAAAAGCAGGGAGGGGGAGAGTTGTTTTGGGAGTGGATTGTTTCCTTTCCAGCATATTTAATTTAGTGGCACACTGGGTCTATTGAGTTCCATGAATGTTGCTCCTGGGTCCCTATGTCTCCACCACCTCCACACTCTGGGGGATTAACATGAGCCAGGGACCACAGAGGGCTCAAAATCCAAGTATTCCCATATTTAAGATGTTTGGTGGATCTACCCCCAAAAAACAAATAGTTCTGAGGAAACCTGCAATAGGTTTCACACGCTCGGTGTGGAGCCTGAGGACCATCACAGGTCACTGAGTATGAAGTTCCAGCAGTGCCAGAATTACAAGTTTCTGATACAAAAATGGTTTGAAGGACTTTCTAGTCTCCATCACACACATTGACTGAGGCCTCGCTGCAGCTAGATTTCAGTCCTTCTTCAAGTCATGGTCTAGACATAAGAAATGCAAAAATACGGTAACATCACTGATACGGTCTGAATTGCAGCTGTACACTTTTCACATCAAAGGACATGATACAGATAACCACAGGGAAAACACATCAATGGCACGTGCACACACCACTGACCCTGCAACACAGAACTCTTCTTTAATGCAGTTTCATCAGTATTCATCTCATCCATTCCCCTCAGTTTCTTGCAAGTCTGCTATAATAAAAGCACTGCTGCTAAACAGTCTGCAGAAATGCATCTGAACTAAAGAAATAGCTCTGTGTTGAGAATACAGAATAATGAGACACTGTGCTCTAATTTTCTAATAACTAAGCTCCCACAGCTTTCATTGACCTAATATTCTGCAAAGAGTAGTCAGGGAAGAGTAAAATCAAACTACTGGCTAGCTTTGAATCCTCAGAAGGACAGACTGGCATTTTACTATGCTGTAATGGAAAAAGTATGCATCTTTGACACACATTTTCGCCTCATGATGTATTAGTTCTCTGACAGCTGAAGGAAAAATGAGATTGCATTAGCAACAGCTGGAGTATATTGAAATATTTTTCTATTTCCTTTCTTAAAAGCTTGCATTGCTAAGTGTAATTCACTAAAGAGAAGGCACAGAGAAGGGTAAGTAGGATAATCCAATTGCTAAAATTTCATCTACAATCAGCAGCTGTGAAAGTTTGTTAACACTAACACATAGAAGTCACAGCCAATATAAAGTTAGGCCAACACATACTAAGACCTTACATAAAATTTTGACGCCTAAAGACCCTTGTTCATCTAAACCTACAGCCCTTTGTGTTCAAAAAATCCTTTCCAATACTCTGTAACCCTGAGTTTGAAATTTAAAAAATTCAGTGACTAGATCTAGCTAGATACAATTCGAGCACCTTCTAATATGAAGGATCTAGATAGGTAGTTTCCATTTCACTCATAGTTACAGACCCAGAGAGTGAAGTCTCTAATGTTTGGCCTGACTAGGGGTCATTTTTGTGCTATGCAGCTGATTTATTGAGAGATACCTTAACTTTCTGTCTTTCCCCAGACTTTGTGTAGACCTGGCCTGGGGTGTGGGACCTGGCAGATCACGGGTTGTCAAATTCACCTGAAGTCTGAGGAAAGACTAAAAGTCAGATTCTCAATAAGCTGCATACCATAAAAATAGGCCTATTCTCAGAAAAACAGGTGCAAAAAAATCAACAAGTGATACAAATGGGGAAATTCCAAGTTTTTACCTATATATGATTTGATTCTAGCCTAAACTGTATGCAAAGACTAAATTTTACTTGACATGAGGACTAAAACCAAACTGGTCCCTCACTTAAAGGCAGGTCCCAGTGATTGATTTTGCATTTGAAGCAGAAGCTGGGTTTTATATAAATCCAAATTTGCAGATTTAGTCATTGTATCTGACCTTAACCAGTCTACTGCATGCAGATTTTCCACTTGTGGAGGTACAGCAAGGGCTCTAGGTTTTCATTTTCAGGCCCTCCTAGCCCTCCCAGTGCTTCTGAGATGATATATGCCCCTGTATCTCTCTCCCCTTCAGGGCTAAACCTTGAGGTGTCTTCAGAGCACACCTCCTGAGCAAGCCTCATCCAAAACACAGCTGGGGACACGACTTCTCCCTCCTACTGCTACATGCCTGACCCAGTGTCGCCCACTGGCCAGCTTCTGGTCTTTCCCTTATGACACCTGCCCTGATTTTGGGCTGAGGGTTGAGTCTCCCACAGCGTGGGGCTGCCGGCATCTCTCTCCAGCTGTGGACATTCAGAAACAAAGTTGCCAAGACTCAAAAATCACAGCTTGTTTCACGCAGGAGTGCTTACCGGGCTTAAAATCAAGCCAGCGTGAAGCCCAGGATGAGAGGCAAGGAGTTTTTTTCAGTGTGCTCACTTCGGAAGCCAGCGTGTTCTCAGAACAACTCTTCCATTTCAAGTGCACCGTTCAAACGCCCTCGTGTGACCAGTGCAATGCCTTCCTCCTCTCCGGAGTATAGACCCCTCCCTTGGCACTGACAGTAAATTGAGAGGGCAGTGAGCACATCCATTGCATCGTTAGAAGACTCTTAGGGTATTTTATCACAAACGGGTGACCCACGCAATTCAGGCAAACTTGGATCAGCAGCAACAGGCCCGACTCCAAAACCCATTTTCGTTTTTAAAAATAGGAGAGCTTCCCAGCAGGTGCCCTGTGACACTGCTCTCCCAGCACTTTCTTGAAGCACTGTCAGAGGCAGAAAATTTTGCTTTCTTGCTGTGACATATATAGCAGGATTCCTGCTTGACATTTATTTCAGTCAGCTCTCCTTCAGACTCGGCATCTCTGTCAAGCTTAGGGTGTGAGCTTTTTAAAAGCAGCAATAATGTTTAAGGAGGAAAACTATGAAAAAACCCTGGTATTAGAATCAGTTGGCCAGCTTTGAAGAGGCTGACAGCCATGGCTGTCTTTTCCTACAGTAACTGAAATTTCAGATACGAGTGATGCTTTTAATAGTCTCAGACAATTGTTATTTGTACAAGCTAGCATGTTCATTCTCCACTTTTCCTTTACAGAAAAATAGGTTTGCCCTGCATTCCAGGACAGAAAATAATTCCCGTTGAACTTGTGTCTGAGCACCTGTCCTTTGATCCCATCACAATTTGTCTTCGTACAGGCATTTATATGAGACTCTTAAGAAAACAGATGCATTTTTCTGACAAGTATTCAACATATTATGGTAACTGATTATGAGGTTTCCTGAATTAGCTGAGCATTAGAGAGTTATCTACTGACATCCCCCAAACTCACCAGCTCCTGTCCCCAGCAATTACACTTGTATGTAAAGAACCTGCAGTGCAGGGGTTGAGTATAGCACAACAACCTCCTCCTTGTAACCACTGGACAGACTTAATGAAAAAAAAAAATATCCAGAGCAAGGAACTTTTAAAATTGTTTCATCATCTCAAACATTCTGACCTAATCCAGGCAGGACTAGAACTGTTGACATCTGCCTTTCCCTTTTTTAATTTTTTTTTGAAAGTTGGTCCTTTTAAAAAGATATGTTAGCCTCTCGTTTCCAGGCCTTCAATACAAGGCACACAGAGAAATTTTAAATATGAGGTGGTGCACATGAAGCTTCTTAGG